CTAATCATGTGATTCAGGTGTGTTGACCCAGAGTGAGATCTAAAACCTGCAGGACACCGGCCCTCGGGCCTGGAGTTGGACACCCCTGGTGTAAATGAACGCGCCTCCACACTGCCCCCGGTGAATACACAAGACATTTCCACTAGTTTTCCTAATTCTCATTTAGGGGTGTTATTACTCATGGTTGCATCATCCACATCACAGGTGAGGTGTACCATTATGTCCACCCATCAGTGGGCTATCATGATCTGTATCTGTATGTGAGCTTGTTAATCAAGAATAAACATTAATATCTGTAATTATAAATTACATACGAAGGAGTAGTGCTTTATAAATGATGAATTAAACACTTAATAATACCTTACTAATGCCTAATATTGTGGCATTATTAGGCAGACAGTGACTATGAAGTGTTACCTTCACCTACTTGATTTGCTCATACTGAGCTGTGCCCCATGTGTCCACTTTGGGATGTAGTGTGAGCTTCAGTGCAGGTTTGGATTACCTGATGATGTTGCTCTGCAGGTGGTCACTCTGCTGCTGTTCGTCTTGAGCTTGAAGCCTCATGGCCTCCTGCTCCTCCTCCGACTGCTGGCTCAGACCGTCCATCAGCCACTGCTCCCTCAAAGCCTTCTTCTGTCAGTCAACCAACACACAGGCCTCTGCTTTAGCCTCAAACCGAGCTCAGTGTTCTTCTCATATTTAAAATGTTCAAATCTACGGTGACACCTGCTCTGTTTTCCATTTGACACTCTCTGCTTTCAAAAGCTCTTTTCCTATCCTGTTAAGCAAAGAAAAATGTGTAGCTGATTTCTCTATCAGATATTTTAAGGAACATTACGTTTGCACACACTCCTCAGTTTCACAAACAGCATACTAGATCCAACACTATGAAGCAGCAGCTGCAGTGGAGCCAGTCCCTCGCTTCCCATTCAGCTGTTAGTCTCAGTCTGACATATTTAGATTTGCCAGAATGGGAAGCAAAGAGCTTCTCAGTATAGTTGGCATGGACTGTGGGAGACAAATCTTTAGTGAAATTGTAAAAACTAATGTTGTCCAAATAATAATGAGATGGATCTTAGTTTTTAGCATGTACAGTTTGGAAACTCAGACACAGGAGCTTTTGTAAGCACAAGTTGTAATCATGACTGGAAGAGTACGGATGTTCTCAAAGCTCTGCTATAAATATGTAGATGTGTATTAAACGAACCCGTGTCCAACAAAAACCTTCACTATGTTAAAGAGACTGAATGTAACCAATATCAGTGGACAGTTCCACGGTGTGGCAACAGGAAATGAAAATGAGTGGGGAGTTGACCCAGGCATCCTAACAGAAGCATGTTTTTTGAAACCTTTTCCACTCACGTGAAAAACACTGGGGGGGGTGCAGAATGAGTATAAAAGAGCTTCTGGGAAGGCCGAGGGTTCGTATTCATCCATGGATTAATGGAGAGCAACATCAGAAGAGAGGACTCTGGAGTTTTGGGGGGTAAATATTTTTACCAAATCAACCACTGCCCAACTACTGAAGACTTACGAACTGCAATTATCATTTTTAGCTTTATCGCTACTCATTGTTGCTCCATTGGATTATGGTCTCAGAGCAGTCGAAGTATTTTGTACTGAATCACTGCTTCCCCACCTGGACTTTACTGGGCATGGGTCAGGCCTGTGTGTTGCCCTTCTCCTTACCCTCATTGCATTCAAAAGTTTAAATTATGTACATTCCCAGTAGCTGGGTGGCCTTAGCTGAGGAGGCAAAGCAGGTCATCTGGTAATCAGAAGGTTAGTGGTTCCCAGTCTGTATTCCAAATATCCTTGGGCAGGATGCGAACCCCACCTCTGATGTATCAGTCAGAGTATGAATATGTGGGGATGATAACTAGAAAGGCCTCCAAAGACAACTCTGTAGTATCATTTACTAAAAATAAAGTTTGATTGTATTTACTTTGCTTTTTTGTAAAATAACCAAAACATTTTCTAACATCCAGTTTGGTGATACCTTGTTTTATAATATTTAATGGACATTGTATTAAAATGCAACAAAAACTCTTAAATATGTTGTTTATTGTTAGATTTATTCATTTTTCCAGCATGCTTCCATAGGGAATTTAGATATTTTTTGGTAGTCACTGATATAAGACGGTGATATCATTACACACCACTACAACACCAGCAGTGACCAGTTTGCCAAAGATGCAGGAAACAGCTCAGTGGCGTGACACAGTTTTAGACAGCCCCCTTGTGGTTAACTGTAACTGGGGTTAACTTGTGCGTAACTGCTTCTTAAGAAAACTTCAGATGTGTGCCCAATTTATCTTAGCATGAAAAAAATATAACTTGGAACGATGGAATGAAAAAAGAAGATTTGACTTTTACAATAATGTATGAAATACCCTCAGTTGTGTTGAAGAGGAATAGCTGTAGCTATAATATGAACAATGCTGCTGCAGTGAGTATATATCTGTGAAATAAAGCTCTGAGACTGCATCAAGGAAAATGTGGAGAAATATAACAGTAAAGCGAGAGTTCCTCACATCCCCTGTACACTGTTACACACTGACACATTTTCTCCTGGAAAATTTTGCTTTTTGGCTGTAAATTAGAGACATACCTTTATGTACTGGAGTTTTAACTTCTCTTCTTCTATCTGTCTCCTCTTCTTGGCAATTTCTTCCTGGATTCTTCTTTTGTCCTGTGAGGGCAGGTCAAACATACATTTGTGTCATATGCACAATTACAGCATGGAAACTATTCCACCTGTTGTCTCCTCGTGCTGACACTTCAACCTTGAGCTGACAGACGGACAGCAACAGCTATAAATAGACAAAAAGCAGCACGGGCTTCATGACGTGACCTACCTGTTGCTTGAGTGTGTGTGTACGTGTCTCTCTGTTTGCTATAATTTCAACCACACTCTTTGCTAATTAGTACACTATGTAGCAAAGACATCTAGAAATTTGATCAGATACATTGGACAGAATAAATTGTGCAGTTGTTATCCTGGATATCAGGCAAACACGCTGCTTAGTTCCTTTATTTTTAACTAAGCCTCACTGCTCACTAATATTAGCTCCTAGATCCAGGATCAGTGTGGAATTAAGCCGGAGTAAAAGGGGATCTCCCTGTTGATGTCTGCTAGTATTTATGACTCTGTCTCAGTCCAGACAGCATTCTAAGCAGAGAAGCCCAGAATTCTCTTCATACCGTTTCTAACTCATCCGGGAGGACACAGAGTTATTATCAAGTCAGCTGAGAGACATAATCTCTCCACCAAGTACTGGGTCTGCCACAGTGCCTCCTCCCACTAGATCATTCCTGAAACACATCACCCAGGAGGCGTCTAGGAGCTCAGGTGCCTGAATAACTTCAGCTGCCTCCTCTCGACGTGGAAGAGCGAGGACTCTCCAAGTCCCTCTGGAAGGACCAGTGAAACCCATTCCTGCTACTTGTATCATGACTTCATTGTAACTACTCAGAGCTTATGATTAAAATATATTTTCAACTCACTTTAAATTATTCATTTTTATTTTTACAGTGCCAAATCACAACAACAGTTGCCTCAAAGTAACTTGTATTTTAAGTTAACGATGCTACAGTGTGAAGTGCCTTGAGACTGTTGCTGGTGAGGGTTCATCGTCTCCACGGACACCGCCCAACCCATCTGTAAATCTCACGGGCCACTCTCTTCTCACTAATGAACTAGACTCTGAGATACTGAAACTGCTGGTCAGAACTCACAAGCATGCGTTGGACACTCTACCCTTTTTCCAACTGAGAACCATATTAAAAGACTTGGAGGTGCTGATTCTCATTCCTGCCACTTCACGCTGGGGCACAAGGTCACCACCTGATGAAACTAACAGAACCACATCAACTGCAAAAAGCCAAGATGAAATTCTGAGGGTACCAAAGTGAAGACCACTCCCTCAGGATGTCCAGAGCTGTACAGAACAGAGTGACTCTTCTTACATGGTTTTATTAAGCATCACAACATATCATCATAGCTTTAAAAGCCTCAACATAAACACTTTTCTAAGAGCCTGGTGGGAATTCTTTACAATTCTTAAAAAGTCTGCACTTATCCCATGTAAACTAAAAAGTTTTTAAAATAAAACTGTAAAGAAAAATCACTGAATACTAACTACTAGAAAAATACTAACATTCTCATCGTGGCATGAGAATAAGACAAAAAAAGAAATAAAAAAAAATATCATACAAGACCCAAACTTTATTTCATTTGAAAAAATTTGATCAAAATATAAAATCAGCAAAGGTGAATTTCTTTAATATATCTGCAACTGAAACCATCATACAGGAAAATCTGAATCCCTGTCAACTGAATCCCACTTGGGAAGCTGTCATGTGAAGGCTGTGCGCAGGCAGGAAAAGCACCCAAAGTGCAGACAGTCGGAGACAAAAGGTGAACTTAAATACAGCGTTAATGCTGAACTCCAAAAAGTAAGAAAACTGAGACTCCAAGGTAAACTTATGCAGCCAGAACACACAGCAAAATAAGGGTAGATCACAACACGGACACAGAGAAACACAGGGCTTAAATACACAGAGGGAGCAATCAGGGGCAACAGGAGGGACACACAGCTGGGGCAAATCAGGCCTAACGAGACAAAGGAAGCAAAACCAGGCACACTTACATGAGACAGACTGCACAACCTGTATTTTATTTGCTGAAAACCTGTATCAATATTTTATAGAAAGGCTTATTCTGTCATAATTATATATTCTCTGAACAAATTTACAAGGTATAAATATATATAGTATCAAGGGCTTAAATCATGGTTTCCAACTCCAGGCCTGGAGGGCCGGTGTCCTGCAGGTTTTAGATGCGTCTTTGATCCATCACAGCTGATTAAAATGGCTAAATGACCTCCTGAACATGTCCTGAAGTTCTCCAGAGGCCTGGTAAAGAACTAATCATGTGATTCAGGTGTGTTGACCCAGAGTGAGATCTAAAACCTGCAGGACACCGGCCCTCGGGCCTGGAGTTGGACACCCCTGGTGTAAAACAGGAAAACATAACACAGAGACGTGAACTTGACGAGGGGATACAGCTGACAGAGGAGACAGAGCAACTAGAGAACACAGAGACATAAACAATAAGACAGAACTCAAAGAAACCAAAGACTAGAAATGATAAATAATATAATAAACTCAAAACCCTGGGTCAACGACCAAGGCATCCTAACAGAAGCATGTTTTTTAAAAGAACTATACCCCCAAATTGTCATCAATAATTTATAATCTATTGTTTAAAATTGACTAATCAATTTCCCTCCCAAAGGCTAAGTGGCAGCAAGATCTTTCCACCAGTCCAGATAAAAACATCTGGACACAAATATGCTTGAGCACCCTCAAAATGACTAAAAGCCCGACTTACAACTTAAACAATACAAAGTTCTCTACAGAACGTACTACACAGGACAAAGTTTTTCCAAATGGACCTTACACACTCAAAAAAAAATCAGAATCCATATCAGAATATTTTATTAATCCATAAGGAAATTATGTGGTTATAGTAAGAACAGACTGAACTAAATCAATAATACAATAATATATACAATGAACCCAATTTTAAATATTCAGAATATTACAGAGATTAAATATATTTGATTGACATTTTACTCTAAAGTGTAAAACTTTATTTGCTATTTTCACTATGGAAGATGGGCAAAGGATGTAACTGTTGCAGTGTGTTCTGTGCATTAGATGGAGGAGTTGTACAAAGAGATAATAGAGAGATAATACAGATACAGAGGGAATGATTTCCTGAGTCGCTTAATGATGCTTTTGGGTAATCTCAGCCTCTCACTGAGCGTGCTCCTGTGACTGGTCAGCACGTCATGGAGTGGGTGGGAGGGAGGTATGGTTCAACATTGTCCTTATCTTGGACAACATCCACCTCTCAGACACCACCTTAAGGGAGTCCAGCTCCATCCCCACAACATTACTGGCCTTGTCGATCAGTTTATTGAGTCTGTTGGCATCTGTGACCCTCAACCTGCTGCCCCAGCTTGAAACAGCATAGAGGATGGCACTGACCACAACAGACTCCTAGAAAATCCTGAGCATTGTCCTACAGTCAATGTTTTCTCTTTATAACATCAGAGGGTGAAGAGGAAAGTGAAGAGGACAGTCCCCTGTGGTGCCCCTGTGTTGCTGATCACCCTGTCAGACACACAATGTTGAAGACACACATATTGTGGTTTTCCTGTTAGCTAATCAACAATCCAGGACACCAAAGAAGCATCCACCTGCATCACTGTCAGCTTATCACCCAGGAGGGTTGGCCTGATGGTGTTGAATGCACTGGAAAAGTAAAAAAAACATGACCCTCACAGTGCTCACCAGCTGGTCCAGATGGGTGAAGACTCGATTGATGATGATAGATGTAGATGGTAGATGATGGCCTGCTCTGCTCAAAGGCAGGGCCGGTAAAGAAACTGAAGGGGAGCCTGATGTCACCTGATTATAGTTGGCAGATGGTCATGAAGACCATTCCAGGTTCTTCATGACGTGGAAAGTCAGTGGCACAGGCCTGTAATCCTGGGGGGAACTGGGATGTGGTGTCTTCGTACAGGGACGAGGCATGGCGTCTTCACAGCACTGGGACCCTCTGCAGACTCAGACTCAGCATGAACAGTTTATGAAAGACTCCACAAAGCTGGGAGGCACAAGCCTTGAGGATGCCGGGACTCACCGAATGTCTGTCTCTTTAAAAAACAACTTTGGATGAATTTGTCTCTCTCTGGTCCTCACTGATGAACTCCATTACTTAGTGGGGGTGGTCGGCTCTAGTCTCGTTTCCCTGTATGCCCTTCAGGTGGATAAGGATGCTCTCTGGGACTCCCCGTGTCTGCCAGCCTCGTGGGAGCTGGACAGCAGTGGTTGCTGTTGGGTGGGTCTTGGTATACGAGTGCTTGTGGTGGCAGGTGCTGCCCCCCAGTCTTCTGGGCAAGGGTAGATGTGGGACCTGGGGCCCAGGTGCCCCGGGTCACCTGGTCTCTGGCTCCCTCCTTGTGCAGGGGTGGTCTAAACCCCAAGTCTTGGGACTCCTCTAAACACTCCAGTCTACTTTTTCTGGTGGGGGTGGTGGCTGCTGCCCTGGACTCGGTGGTGCTCTGGGGCATTGTCCTTGCAGGCCATAGGCCAACTTGTTCCTGCTCTGTGGTGGGATGTTGGGAATGGGGTGCCTACTGAGTCAGTCGTTTACTGGCTCTCTCCTTGCAAGGATAGTCCTTTACCTCCCGTTCATACATTATCACCGCTTCCCCCCTTGATGCTTCTGCCCCTCCCTGGGATGTGGGTGATTGTTGGTTCCGGGGTGCGTGGCTTGATGTTCAGGTGTGCTTGTTGGCCCATTCCCTTGGTGGCTAGGGGTGGCTTTGATCTTCTCACTGTTGAGGAAGGGGCAGCCAGATGCCGGGTGGTTCTTTGGCACCTGTTCTTGATTTGTACCAGGGTGGCAGTTTCTGGAAGGGTTGACTGCCTGTTGTCTCTGGTCTTCTGAGACACTCACCCTTTGACCGTGGGCACTGCATCTGTGGCCTCCCTCCTCCTGCTTGGATGGACACGCGGATGTCACCAAGACGTGTGGCCTCAGGTCATCAGTACTCTTGGGAGCTGAGGATGGCTGTGATTGTTGTCCTAATTCAGACTCCATCTGCCTCTAGGACCTGGGAGGACATTATTGCACCTTTCCACCCTCATTATCAAGTGCATTTGTTTTAAAGACACACACACCGAGACACTCACTCTCTGTCTCTCTCTTTCTGTCACATTCATACTCACACTACTAGAAGACTGTTGATTTATGTATCTGTGTATTTTCTCATTTTTGTATGTTGATGCTTTAAAGGTGCAGCAGTTGGCGATACATTTTTCATTTCTATCTGTACTGTTTCTTGTTATTATAATTCCAGCATTAATCCTGTTGGAATTAAAATAATGGAAAAAATAATCTGTTTATTATTAATCAATATTACCTTATTATTATGACTTTGGTACCTAAGTCAGAATATAAAAATCCTAATGCACAGATAATATAAACATTGTTAACAATTTGTAACCCACTATCAGTGAAATCAACGACACTATTACTAATTGACTTCACCTCATGGGCATAGGTTACATTATTGTGCTCGGTTTCTGGGCTTAAATTTCAGTGTAACATTACTCAGTTAATTGTTTATTGCTAATTTAATTAATTGGTAATTGTTAATTAACAGTGTTAATATAAGATAATTACTTGGCATTAAATAATCCTGAAATGGTTTCCACAGCATTCCCTTCTTGTTTCCAACTTATGGCCCAACTTTAAATATTGAGCTGTAAAAGGCTCCCAAAGATTCATTGATTAAAAAGAGAGTACTTCAGATGTTTGATTGACTGATTTGGTATCCATCAGAGGGACTATGCGATCTACACAGTGAACCTGTGGGTTTTTGTCTGTTACAGAAGAAGGACCATGCTATTTGAAACTGTGGCCCCAACATGACTAGCTATAGTCATTAACCTCCTAAGACCCGAACTCTTCCACTGCATGCATTTTTAATTTCTCTTTGATATTTGGGCATATTGGGGCCCAATGAATGTAAAAACAAAGAATTACCAGATTTTTTTTTTTACCTTATTTTTGTTTTTAAGAAAAATAAGAGCCACACATAAGGATATTCGTTTAACATTTTGATAGAATAGTAGCAGCATAATGTCCTCGTAAGTGGATATCAGGCCCTTGTAGAGCAAAATGTAGTATTTTGGTTTAAATAACCCAAAATGTGATGTTCACATATGTGGACGCCAGGTCCTAGGAGGTTAAAGTTCATTAAAGTTCCATGAAACATGTTAAGCTGAAACTGATAACATAATAACAAATATAGTAAAACTCCAAGTTAGATATTGTAAAAAGTGGAAGCCCCTGTGGATGAACAATAAAGCCAACACAGAAGTGCCAGAACTACTCCAGTTATACTAGCTGCCAATTAAAGCTGGCTCCAAAAGTCCCCTCGATTGTTTCACTTCAGCCAATAAATTAACACGTTCACAGCCTGGCACTACAAAAGTTTTGGCCTGGACTCCATCTTCTCCTTCATTACAACTGTTTTTATAACTCACCTGAATGCTGGAAGAGCTACAAGTTACCAGGGACACCATCGCTTTGACTGACAGGTGTGCCAACAGAGGCAGCCTCTCACCTGTGCTTGTGCTACTGATGCCATATTTAATAGAATTAACCAAGAAACAATATGGGCTGCTGTTTCGTACATTAAGTCTGTGCTCTAGTTTTAGTGAGTGCTGATAAGTATTCACTGAACCTTATGTCATCATCAGTTAGTGCTTTATGTTAATATCTTTCTGCCTCAGATGAAAGCGATGCAGCCTCTCTGCACATTGACAGGCGAGTTGACTTGCACAGCTACAATTCTTTTCTGGCTGGATTTTCTCTCTACGCCATCTTGTAAATACACACCCACATGTTTTATTTTCAGGCTGTGCTTTGGTAACAACTCTTAGTTCTGCATCCTGACATCCTGCTAAAGTAAAGTATCACAGCTCTGAATTACAAGAATGCAGAGATTTACACAATGAGAAACATCTACTGATACACAGGTATTTTGCTGACATATATATGATGGCATCAAAGAGTGTGACTATGAGCTCTTTACCATGATGGCCTGGAGCCTCTACTTGACGTCGGATCGCCAGGATTCAACTGACAATTTTAAAACATGCACCTATGGAATGAATGTGAAGTGCCAGGCGACTTCCTTCTTTAATCATCGCATTCACAAGATGTTCAGAAACCCTGGAACCTTGACCTTGGACATAGACATGAAGGTAACCAGGATTCAAACTCATCTGAATCTTTTAGTAGATGCACCTATGGCATGAATTTCAAAATCCTACATCGCCTATTTCTCAAGTTGTTCATTTGTGTTTGGTAAAAACTAAAGACAAATTCCACTACAGTCATTCATTGTAAAATATAATTTTTACATTTCAGAAGCTAATATGAACTTTCAGCAGGACAAAAACAAGACAAAACAGTTACTCAGACTCTAAAGCTAAGTGTGATTATAAGCTGCCCATTTTATTACAGTTCCATAAGCGTCTGTTGTATTAAAATGTGAACTTATGTTATGAAGATGGACCTACTGTTCACACTGTTTCTAGCCTAAAGCTACCAGTGGAATTACTTCCTTGTTTGTTTTACTAAATCATAAAGACGCACTCACCTGACGTCACTAACTAACTCATGTGGACACAAATCAGATCATTCCGATGACAGACTTCCAGCTCTGCCCCTCTAGATATGATGGTCAACTTTAGTGCTATCTTTGCCATCTACACAAATGGATTAGAACCCATCACCACCAAATTTTTGAAAATGAAGTTTACTTCAAGTCAGTATGTAACACAGATTATTTGGAAACTGGCTTTTTACTTAAACTACAGAGACTGTAGGACTGCTGTTTACCATGATGGCCTGGAGCCTCTCCTTCAGCAGGTCGGCCTCCTCCATGTCCTACGTGAGAGACAAAGCATGTGACAGTTAATCAGCTGCAACTGTGGAGCCACACAGGAACACAGCAAATTAAAGAAGTTAGAAGCCATCACGAATCACTGTGATTACCCACTCTACAACATCTTTATGGAACATCCTCTCTCTCCATCATACAACAGAGACACAGAAAATCAATCACACCCATAGACTTTTTAATTCTTATACAAACAGCAGATGAGCTATGTCAGAGACAGGAAGTTCCCTTTGGGATGTTCTTCTGATATGTAACTGCTTATTGTTGAAGGGCTCATAATTCTGTGTTCTATGTTCCCAGATTTTACTCTTTGATGCTCATTTGTGTAAATAATTACAAGAATACATAATCCGTATGGCACTTTGGTCAGCAAAACCTGTGCTTTAAAAATACATTTTACTGACTTGTATTAGTAAATCTAAATTATTCATCCGTCACACAGCATTGTCAAACAGAGTATTCTACCTCTTTATATTGATAATGATTTCTTTTTAGCTTTTATTTGATCATCAATCATCATCATAAACATCAAGAATATATTTTGCTATCGTGGGTTTAGCTTTAAAACATGAAGTGAATAATAGCACATCATACATCATTTCACCAGTGTTGGGAAGGTTACTTTTAAAATGTATTCCACTACAGATTACAGATTACATGCCCCAAAATATAATTTGTACTGTATTCCGTTACGTTACTCAATCAGAGTAACATATTCTGAATACTTTGGATTACTTAATATATTATCATGCTTTTTACAACTACATGAATGTCCTACTGCTGTGTGATTTATTACTATTACTGAAGGTTACTTTCCACACCAACACCAACTAGATGTTTAAATCATAATATAAATGAGTAACAGTAGGTGGACATTAGGTAAGGCTGCACTTTTTGCAGCGATCTCGTGTAGAAAACTATTCCGCGCGTATATAAAACAGGTCCGCGGCCCCAAACCGCAGTAAAGGGACCTCTGGCTAATATGTCGGGTTCATGTCCATTTTCCCTGCAACACGGATTACACTACCCATCAGGCTACATTCTTTAAAGCTATGCCTGTAACACTCTGCCTGTTGCCTTCATATTAAATAATTTTTAAGATAATTTTTAAAGATATTTCATCATGTCATTATGCGGGCCACAAGTAGAGGTGACATGGGCCGCGAGATTGAGACACAGGCATTAGAGCCTCTTAACATCCTAAGACCTGGCGTCCACATATGTGGACATCATATTTTGGGTTGTCCAGACCGCAATACTAAATTTTGCTCAATAAGTGCCTGATATCTCTTACAAGGACATTATACTGCCACAAAACAAATGTCCTCATATGTGTATATCCAGGCCCTTGTAGAGCAAAATCAGGTAAAAAGATCATTCTTTGTTTTTGCATTCATTAGGTCCCAGTCAGTCCAAAGAGAAATTAAAAATGCATTCCATGAAAGAGTTCGGGTCTCAGGAGGTTAATGCGTGTTTTGTTTGGGTTTCCACCAGTGTGGAATTACCAAATTACCAAAAACAGAGAGGGGACAGCCTAACATGTGAAATAGGAAAAGACCGCCATGTAATCCATTTATTTCAACAAAGTAACTGTATTTTGAATACCACCTTTTTAAACAGTAACTGTAACGGAATACATCCATCCATCCATCCATCCATCCATCTTCATCCGCTTTATCCGAGGCCGGGTCGCCTCCTCCCGGTGGGACATGCCTGGAACACCTCACCCAGGAGGCGCCCAGGAGGCATCCTTGTCAGATGCCCGAACCACCTCAGCTGGCTCCTTTCAATGTGGAGCAGCAGCGGCTCTACTCTGAGCCCCTCCCGGATGGCCGAACTTCTCACCCTATCTCTAAGGGAGAGGCCAGCCACCCTTCGGAGGAAGCTCATTTCTGCCGCTTGTATCCGCGATCTCGTTCTTTCAGTCACTACCCACAGCTCGTGGCCATAGGTGAGGGTAGGGACGTAGATCGACTGGTAAATTGAGAGCTTCGCTTTTACACTCAGCTCCCTCTTCACCACGACGGACCGGTGCAGCGTCCGCATTACTGCAGCTGCAGCCCCAATCCGTCTGTCGATCTCCGGCTCCCTTCTCCCATCACTCGCGAACAGGACCCCGAGATACTTGAACTCCTCCACTTGGGGCAGGAACTCATCCCCGACCCGGAGTGGGCACTCCACCCTTTTCTGGCTGAGAACCATGGCCTCAGATTTGGAGGTGCTGGTCCTCATTCCCACTGCTTCACACTCGGCTGCGAACCGCTCCAGTGCGAGCTGGAGGCCCTCACCCGATGAAGCCAACAGAACCACATCATCCGCAAAAATCAGAGATGAGATTCTGAGGCCACCAAAGCGAAAGCCCTCCGCCACTTGGCTGCGCCTAGAAATTCTGTCCATAAAAGTTATGAACAGAACCGGAGACAAAGGGCAGCCCTGGCGGAGCCCATCACCCACCAGGAACGAGTCCGACTTATTGCCGGCAATGCGAACCAAGCTCTTGCAACAGTTGTATAGGGATCGAATGGCCCCTAGCAATGGGCCAGACACCCCATATTCCCGCAGCACCTCCCACAGGACACCCCGAGGGACACGGTCGAATGCCTTCTCCAAGTCCACAAAACACATGTAGACTGGTTGGGCAAACTCCCATGCACCCTCAAGTATCCTCGAGAGGATAAAGAGCTGGTCCAGTGTTCCGCGACCAGGACAAAAACCGCATTGTTCCTCCTGTATCCGAGGTTCGACTAGCGGACGAACTCTCCTTTCCAGCACCCTGGCATAGACTTTCCCAGGGAGGCTGTAACGGAATACAGTTACTCATATTTTGTATTTTAAATACATAACAGCGGTATATGTATTCCGTTACTCCCCAACACTGCATTTCACTAGGTACATCTGAGCTTGTAGTTAAATACATGTAAACGTTTCATATTAAACATGACTGCATATTGTTATTCTTATTTGCACTGACAGCATTACACTATGCTTTGCAATCCACTGACATGGGACAAAAGAAAACAATACTACAATTCACATTTAAAACTTCTGTTCATTTTATTCATGTAGAAATATTCTGCACTGACCGCACAACCCGAAACAGCAGCAAATGTAACACAATCTAAAGGTTAGCTGGAAAAGTAGAGCTCTCCATGCTTACACCACACACACAACAAAGCTACAAGGCTAATTAGCCATGCTAGCTCAACTCAGCAGTATGTAATTAGTCGGAAGAAAAAGTAAATTTTATTTTGTCATGTTAGGAAATCTGTTGGAGAGGTAAGTGACGGAAGTGACGAATGGTAGCTTAGAATTGAACAAATTCCTTTAGGCTTCAATTTTACCAAATACACTTATCAATTGTCTTATAACTAACAACATTTGTCTAAATCTTCTCCAACACCCTGGAGAACAATGGGGAGAGTTTAGAGGCTCTCCAAGATTACATTGATCGGTGCTTCCAGGATCTCATGATGAAGAAGGCCCAGAGTGCAGCTTCCCCGGCCAAATCTGAGACGCTGTCATTGAAAAGATGTCGCCCAGCAGATTCTCCCGGCACAACATCACCAGCCGGCAAAGATATTGTCGACATACTGGAGTCAATCAACAAACGATTGTCCAGTTTCGACGCAAGGCTGTCCTTGGTGGAGATTCTACACCGAGAATTTAAATCCTTACGAGAATCCCTCGAGTTCAGCCAGCAGCAGGTGGAAATGCTCGCTGCTGAAAATGCCACGCTAAGGGAGTCGGTGAAATGTCTCACAGACAATGTTACCCAGTGTGAGTACAAGAAAATAATTATTATAATATAAATATCTCTATATTTAGACTATAATGACACTCCCAGAACTTCAGCATCTGTACTATGGGAAGCAGGGAAAGCTGTGATGAGAGGTAAAATAATTTATTTCTCATCACATAAAAAGAAAGAAGAAAACAAAAATATTCAGGAATTAAAAAAAACCATCAAATCACTAGAAGAAGCCTACGCGTGCGACCAAGATCAGGAAACATTGAACAAAATACGCAAAACAAAACTAGAATTAAATGAGATAATTGATTTAAAACTAAATTCTTAGTACAAAGACTACGCTTACAAAATTATGAACATGGTAATAAATCCGGTAAATTTCTAGCAAACCAGCTAAAAAAAGACAAAATAAAAAACAATAAAAGGTGTTGTTCAAGATTCCACAGAATGTTGCAGGAAATCAAGGAAAATGGCAGACTACCACCAAATATGAATTCTGCAAACATTAATCTCCTGCTAAAACCAGGCAAAGACCCTGTATATCCCTCAAGCTATCGTCCAATATCCCTTATAAATGTAGACCTTAAAATAATCTGCAAAGCTCTCTCAAAGAGA